CTGATATTCGATATCATACCCTCCAAGTTCGATGGCCCGTTTGGCCAATCTACCCGATAATTCGGGCTTATGCAAGAGACTTAGAAGTGGATACGTAGTCAATACACATATAGGATGGCATTGAAAATATGGTTATAATTTCCTAGATGCGCTTATTAATGCAAGAGCTAACTTTTCCAAATGTGGGTACCTGGTTTCAGCATCTCCTAGGGCCCGACTCACATAATAGACAGGAAATTGCGTACCTTGCTCTTCTCGAACCAACACGCCACTTACCGCCACCTCGGACACGGCTAAATACAAGTAGAGTGTTTCATCCTCCTTCGGTGTATGGAGCAGGGGTGGGCTCGAGAGATACCGTTTTAATTCTTCCAAGGCTTGTTGGCACTCCGGAGTCCATGTAAAGTTGTTCTTCTTCTTGAGTAGGGAAAAGAAATGATGGCTCCGATCTGATGACCTTGAGATAAATCGACCTAGGGCAGCTATCCGTCCGGTCAGCCGTTGTACGGCTTTCACATTGTTCACTACGGTGATTTCCTCGATGGCTTTAATTTTATCGGGGTTGATCTCGATACCCCTGTTCGACACCATGAAGCCCAAGAACTTGCCCGAGCCGACTCCAAAAATGCATTTATCGGGGTTGAGCTTCATGTTGTACTTTCTTAGGATATTGAACGTCACCTGCAAATGGGTCAAATGGTCCTCTGCGAGCAGGGACTTAACTAGCGTGTCATCAATATAAACTTCCATGGATTTGCCTATTTGATGTTCGAACATCTTATTGACTAGGCGTTGATATGTGGCTCCTGCATTTTTTAGCCCGAAGGGCATTACATTATAACAATACGTACCATACTTCGTGATGAACGAAGTCTTTTCCTGGTCCTCCGGGTTCATTTGAATTTGGTTGTACCCGGAGTAGGCATCGAGAAAAGTAAGGATCTCGTGGCAGGTCGTAGCATCGATCAAACGATCGATGTTGGGCAATGGGAAAGAATCTTTAGGGCATGCTTTGTTCAAATCTTTGTAGTCTACAAACATTCTAAGTTTATTCCCCTTTTTTAGGGACTACCACTACATTAGCTAGCCATTCGGGATATTTTACTTCCCTAATGGATCCTATCTTGAGAAGTTTGGTTACCTCTTCTTTGATGAATGCATGCTTTACCATGGACTGAGGTCTCCTTTTTTGCTTTACTGGTTTAAATCTGGGATCGACACTTAGTCGATGGGTAGTTATCTCTGGTGGGATCCTTGTCATATCTAAGTGGGACCAGGCAAAGCAATCAATGTTATCGATAAGGAATTGAATGAGTTTTTTCCTGAGTTCGGGGGTTAACCCCATCCCCAGGTATACCTTTCGTTCTGGAAGATGCTCGATCAATATGGCCTTCTCGAGTTCTTCAGCCGTGGATTTCGTTGCATCCGATTCCTCGGGGGCAACGAAGGCTCGGGGGATGAGGAAATCTTCTTCTTCGTCCTTGACCACCTGTTCATCGATCACCTGTTCCTCGGGCTCAACCGAGGGTATGGGTTGTGACTGCTATTTGGCCACCTGCTTGTCCTTTGACTTTTTCGGTGTGGATGGTGTCAATATCGGTGCCAAGTCGTGTACTGCAAACATCTCCTTAGTTGCATCCTGCTCTCCATATACTATTTTCACGACATCCTTTGTTGGGAACTTCATCATTTGATGAAGGGTCGATGGCACCGCCCTCATGCTATGGATCCACGGCCTTCCAAACAAAGCATTATACCTCATGTCACCTTCGATGACATGAAATTTGGTGTCTTGTGTGGTTCCGGCCACGTTGACTGGGAGGATGATTTCTCCCTTCGTTGTTTCACTTGCCATGTTGAAGCCATTCAAGACTCGAGATGCTGGTACGATTTGACCGAGCAACCCGAGCTGCTCCACGACCCTTCACCTGATTATATTTGCCGAACTACCAGGATCCACGAGAACACGTTAACTTGAACTTTATTTAAAAGGAAAGAAATTACCAGTGCATCGTTGTGAGGCTGAGATAAGGCCTCGATGTCTTCCTCGTTGAATGTGAGGGTGTCCTCGGGCAGGTAGTCCCGAGTCCGTTTCTCCCTTGTTATGGATACTTTGGTACGTTTGAATATCAGTCCCTGTGGGACGACGACTCCATCGATGATCATATGAATGACATGTTGAGGTTCTTCAGGTTCATTCTTCCTGTTTCCATCTCTTTCTCGAAAATGGTTCTTGGCCGGGTCGCTGAGAAATTCATGAAGATGCCCCTCGTTGAACAATCGAGCTACCTCCTCTCTAAGCTGCCTGCAATCCTCGGTCTTATGCCCATGAGTACCATGATACTTGCACATCAAATTGGGGTTCCTCTGAGAAGGATCGGTCTGTATAGGCTTGGACCATCTAGTATCTCTAATTTTGCCAATGGCTGAGACGATACCCGAGGCATCGACGCTGAAGTTGTACTCTGATAATTGGGGTGCCTCCGCCGGTCCCAAGTGTCTATCAAACCCGGCTTTGCTCATAAGTCCCTGGGAACTTTGACCTCGATCTGCTCTTCGATTATTTCGAGGTATGTTACGCCTTGGAATGTTCCTTCGATCCTCGACGTATGGCTAATATCTTTCCTTATTCGACCTTGACCCCCTGTCTGCGTTTCCTGACTCATTTGCTAGTAACCTTCTTCGATAAACTGAGCCCGAGGGGGCTTTCAACTGATCATCCTCGACCCTAATTTTTGATTGGTACATGTTATGCACATCCGCCCAAGTTACAGCGGGATACTCGATCAAGTTCTGCTTCAGCTGCTTCGAAGCTATCGAACTTCGTTCATTTAGCCCCTGAGTGAAGGCTTGTACGGCCCAGTCATCGGAGACCGGTGGTAACTCCATTCGTTCTAACTAGAAGCGGGAGACAAATTCCCTCAGTATCTCGTTCTCCCTTTGCTTTATTTTGAATACATCGGACTTCCTTGTTGCAACTTTTATGGCACCGGCATATGCCTTTACAAATGAGTCTGCCAACATGGCAAACGAATCAATAAAGTTCGGGGGTAAGTTAAGGTACCAAACAATGGCACCCTTAGAAAGAGTTTCCCCAAACTTTTTTAGCAAAACGGACTCAATCTCATCGTCTTCCAAATCATTTTCTTTTATGCCACAAGTATATGTGGTGATGTGCTCGTTGGGATCAGTGGTCCCGTTGTATTTTTTGGATATCTGGCATCCGAAACTTCTTCAGGATGGGCTTCGGAGCCGCACTCTGGGGAAATGGTTTTTGCACGAACTTCTTCGAGTCCGGTCCTTTGAAAATCGGAGGTGCTCGTTATTTGGTCGACCCTCGAGTTGTATGTTTCCACCTTTTTGTCGTTGTCCTCAATCCTTTTTTCTCCTGACTTGATCCTCTTCGTGAGTTCCTCGAGCATTCTCATGACGGTGGGGTCAGTTCCCGAGCCGTTGTTGCTTGATCTCTCCGGGGTTGGCTCAACACGATGAGCGGTTTCTGGCCCAGCCACGCTCGGAGTCTTTTGCTGACTCTGTAACTGGGCGATAGCAACTTGTTGTGCTTGCAACATCTCAAAAATCACTTGTAGACTAACTTCTCTTTCTCCTTGAGCCTGCGTCCTTTGAGTGTCAGGTTGATCCCCTCCGCGTACACTTCCTTCGACATCAGTGTCCAAATCAACGTTCACGGCAATGTGTGAACCAACATCGAAGGGGTTTGGCGCTGGTGCTACCCCAGGGTTTAGCGGTGGCACACCGATCCCTGCAGTTGTTGCATTGTTTTCTCCATGGGATCCGAGACCGTCGTTTCCATGCACGGGTGCATTTGCTGAGCTAGACATAACTTAGCCTGAAATCAAAGAATCTTTGACAAGAAAAAGTGAGAAGAATAACGTGTGTTATCAGAAAACTAGCACTAAAATAATCACTATTATCTTTAGCCCCAAGGTGGGCGCCAAACTATTTACCTCGAAAAATGTGAGTAACAATTAAAGGTGATTTGCGATTTTAAAGATATGTGATTTATTCCAATACTAGTGAATATACAAGTAATATTAGGTTTAAGTAAGAAGAATTGATGAACCAAACCAGTATTTTTAGAGCAACGGGGACCTCAAGCTCGATTATCTCGGGGGTCTCGAGGTGAGTTAAGAGCAAATAAAGTATGAACAATAAAGCTGAAGAACAATTTTGGAACATAGTAAACGAGAAAAGCAGAATAGAATGTTCTATTGTAGTGAATGAGATGATGTTTACAAATGATTGGGGTCCACTTTATATAGAAGGGGAAAACACTAATATGGTATATTTTCAATTATGGTAAGGAATTCTATTGGTACCACGTGTCCTTGAGAAATTCCGTACAAATCTTATCCCTTAATTTATGCCCTGATCCACGTATCCTTGAGAAATTCCATTCTCGAGTGTCATCGAAATTGTACTGTCCTCGAGACAGATCATGACGGGTCTCCGATTTGCTTCTCGAGGTGCGCACATCCCGTTGGGCTCGATTCTTACTTCGAGCTTCCGAACTCGAGCTCGGGGTATGATCAAGTCTTCGAAACCGAGCTCTCCAATTTAGACTATACACACATTTTTGATATTTCAGAAAAACATCAAAATTTATCCCTCTACTTTTGACTATGATTCAAAAGTACCTCGTTATACTTCAAGTTGAAGCTCATTAGAAGCAAGTGCAAATACGAGACATGTATTGCCATAAGGATAGAAAAGATATAACGAAGAGTAAATTTTGACCCATATCTTATTGATATAATAAAGCAATGAACATATTCACTGCAACCTATATATACATCAGACCTAACATTTGGGATTAGAGAAATCCGTGGTCATATTAATACATCCAAGTATTGGCCAATTCCTCTGCTTCGATATTCTCACACTCTACCGTAAAAAAAGCCCATGCCCACGCCTATGTTTCTCCCACAAAACAGTCCTGATAAGCCTTTCAGGTAAAGCAACAGAGTTTGGCATGCATGTAAAAAAGAGAGATCAATTGCAAAAACAATTAAACTGAGTACTGATCATCTTTCTACTGCAAATATAGAAGTTGAGCATTCAAATACTATGTTGAGTATTAGCATCTTGTTTATGCAAGAGCGGAATGACAAGAACAATGGTAGACGTGGAATCGGAAGCTTTTTAACATATCCATGTGAACATTACATAGCCCTATTCTAAAATAACATAATTCCAAATCTGATGTTAGTGATGCCAACCAAGTACGATGAGGACAGATAAGCAAGGCAAGTGTTCCAGTTTTGTCATGGACCTCAAAATACTCCTCTATGTTGCAGATAATACTCCTCAAAATACTCCTCTATGAATTTGTTGCAGATAATAGATGTGGCTCACAATTTTGTCATGGACCTCAAAATACTCCTCTACATTTCAGATGCAAGGCAAGTGTTCCAGTTGCAGCTCACAGTCAATGACCAAGGACAATTAATTTGACTCTCAAACATGAAGCCTAAATTGCAACAAATGAATTATGTATCAAACAAATACTGAGATAGCACATACCAAAAACACAATTAACAATAATGCGTTAAAAATGAAGACAAGAGAAGAGCCCTGGTGTGTTTTCGAATTCATAAAACAAGTTTATTACATCAAAGTGTAACGTGTAGTTGACAAGGCAATCATCTGAAATGTAGAGGAGTATTTTGAGGTCCATGACAAAATTGTGAGCCACATCTATTACCTCTTTTCTCAAAGCTCTTCTAGTGATTACCCTAAACATAATTCTATTTACATCATATCCAATAATACAAACATGTTCCACAGCTTTGTCTAGAGGGACATGTCAAACATCAAAGTTCATCTAGAGTATACTACATCAAGCAAGATCCCTCAAGGCAGCTTGCATTTACACATACAACAATTTACATCCTAAGAAAAAAGGGACATCCATACATTACCAGATCTCTTCAAATTTCTTGCTAGGATGTCAAGTTTCTCCATTTGTCCTTCAAGTCAACCTGAACAAAAATGTCCGAGGCTTCATAGGTAGGAGTATTATATATTGTGTTATAAGATTAATATGAAATGCACTTACCGGAGTCCTGTTCTCGAATATTTCATGATAAGTATCAAAGATCAGCCTCCAGTTTCCGACACCATACCTTCAAGAGAAAACACATAAATTAAGAGATAAAACTTGTGCCCATATTTCTTTACCATGAAAAACTTCTATAGAATAGATTCAAGTAAATACATACTTCTGCACACCAGACCTCAAAGTTTCTTCTTCAATTGTACTCCATCTCTTGGATTTCCTCCTCTTTGTAAATTTTTTAAATTCATACTTCTTCAAGGGGGAAACCTTCGTCCTCCTGGGGGTAGGTAACGTAAACCTCCTCCCACTACTACTTGGTGAACCTTCGCTTAAGTTATCGATTGAATCGTTCCACTGTTACATTTAAGAAATTGTTCTCATAAGTAAAAATTAAACTGTCAATCCTGTATCATTTTATAATAATTTCCAAAACAAGATCTGTTGTACGTAGAACAAACTTTTTCAGCAATAATTTCCAAACATTTCTAGTTCTCATATCCAAATGATTCCAGATAATCTACCAGGATTCTCTTCTAAGGAACCTCAATAACACAGTTCAAGAAACTTGTACATTGTCAAATGAACGGCAAAAAATCATATCTCTACCTAATCACGGCACAGAGCGTAAGCTGGCTCGGAGATCACCGTTAAAAAAAAAGGGGGTCATTTAGTTTCTAGGCTATGCCAACGGAGCCTGTTTGGGTTCTCTGTCTGAAACATTGATAGCATTACTACGGTATCATCAACAGTACCAAGCGTCACAAATAGTACAAGTAGCAAAGATATTCAGAGCAAAATGATAATTCAAGATAAGGTGGAATAATCCTGCACTAATATTTAAATGATTCAGAACCCCCCACCCCCAACTCCACCCCACCGCCCAACTTCTCCCAACCCAATAGAAAATACTAGGAATTGGCAAAAAATTGAACAATAAAAAGGTTGTTATCATGCTTACAGTTCCCTCAGTCAGCATGATTAATTATAGCATGCAGCTAGAGTTAAATCAAAGTTACATGCATCAAAGCTAGTTTGGGGCAGAATCAAGGAAGACACAATACAGATTATAGGAGGTAGAATGAGAAGAAGTTAACAACTTAAAGAGTTGGATAAGGTTCTTGTCAGCTTGATCAAGTGCCATTACAAGGAAAATCTGGAAGGTTGAAGGGTTACATAATTAAAAAGAAAAAGTTCAAGGGATTACGTATCAATATACAGATTGTTTAGCTTAATAATAAGAGATTTCGCTCCAAACTCACTTGGAAAGGAGACTTAGAGACTACTTTCCTCCTTTGTTAGTAACTGGTTGATAATATCGCGTGAACTATCCAAAACTTTCCTGCATGCTTATTTACTAAAGTAATGCTCTTCTTGCATGATGTAAAGAAGGAGAACGATATTGAAAGTAAACGACGGATATTAGTTTTTAGTTTCCATCTTCATTATGAGGATATGAAGAATTCTTGTCACAAGCAGCATCGTACATCAAAACACTACTATTCCAGCTAGTATCTGTTTAATACAGAGTTCATCAGACAACTACTACAACAACAACAACAACAACAATAAACCCAGTGTAATCCCATAAATGGGGTCTGGGAGGGTAGTGTGTACGCAGACCTTACCCCGACCTTATAAAGCCGTAGGGGTAATCACTAGCAACTTGTTTGGATGGTTGTTACCCATTGTATTGTATTGTATTGTTATCCCAAAACAATGTTTGTTTTGATTGTTTGTTTAAAATTGGTTGTATCGTATTGTTAAATTCATTGTTCCGGAACAACCAAAAGCCCCATTTTATGAAACAACCGATTTGGTGTGATGGGATCGTTTCCTATTTTCTTTTTCAATTATGCCTTACTTATTACTCTATAATCCTATTTTATTATTTAATTTTTTTTATTTTAACTCCAAATCTCCAACCTGTTGACCTACTTTGTCTTCTTCCATCTTTTCTAGAGTTGGTTGGCCCCGTTCTTTTTATCCAAGTCTCGTTCAATTCTTTGTCTCTTTCCATCATTTTAATTTTTTTTTTTTTTTTTTTGCTAATATTAGTTAACTTTTTTTCCAGATTTTTGCTCTTGTTTTCAAGCACGTAATTAATCATAAATTAGTAGAAAGAGGTTGTCTTAAATTATTTTTATGTGTAATTTTTAATAAATTTTATTTAAAACAAATGGGGGTATTTTAGTGAATTTATCAGTTACAGTACAGTACAATACAGTCAAACCAACCAACAAAATGTTATTTAACAACAACAAACGATACAATCTATTCAAAGGCTGTATCCATAAAACGATATAATACAATACAATTCAGTACAATACAATACATTATAAAACAATGGGTAACAATGCTCCAAACATAGTGTAGGAGTCTGCTTTTCTTCTATTTCTTTCTCTTCCTTGAACTTTAACCAATGATAGGGTAACATATGTCCTTAAGTTTCCATTTAAGCAAATCCTATTCTAAAACTTTGTCCAGAGAAAAATAAAGCTATCACACTTCATGGATACATCAATCAACAACGCTTTATCGGACTGCAGCCTAGCAATAAGTCTAAATAAAGGCCCTGATATCAATTGTCACATTCACGAAATCTCGAAGGATTTTCTATATCACTATAAATTAAATTCATTAATAAATAATAATTCCACTTTGGCCAAGTAAAAATGAGGATTGAGTAGGTTGACAGCCAGTACAAATCTAATAATAGTGAATCCTTTGAATATTTGATCTGAATATAGCAGGATGAATATAGAAAACTCATACCCAACTAATTCAGGATAGAGACGTAGTTGATCGATTTATACCAAGACCATCTTGCATCATATGTACAAAAATGTCTTCATTAACATTTTGCATAAGTCATCTTCAAGATATTTCAGTACAGGGTGATACTAAATACATCCATATTTTATTCTACAATCACGTATACACATTTAATAGCCTACTTAAGAGATCATGTATTAAGGCCTCATTTGTTTTATTTAAGATTAAGACTTCTGAATCTGAATACACATCTGAATATCAAGATGTGTATTAAGATTAAGACATCTGAATCTGAATACACATCTGGATATATTAAGATGTGTATTAAGATCTGAATAGAAATAATTAAGACTGTTTGATTTTTAACATCTGAATGTATAAAATTTATCTTTATTTGAAAATTAATAAGCATAAAATTCAAGTGAAATACTAACTAATCTAATATTCTATCAATAAAATATATAGTTTTTAAAAATATGGTAGTTGTTGGTGGTGATGGCTAACGGGTGAATGCCGACTAGAGGCGGTGGTAGTTTTGGTTGATGATGGTGGTTCATGCTAGTAGCTATAGTGATTGGTAGTGGTGGCGATTATGATTGAGGATGGTGGTGGTAGGTGGTGATAGTTAATAATATCGGGTGGTGGTAGTAGTTGTGATTGAGGAAGGTGGTGGGTGGGTGGTGGTAGGTTATATTGATGGGATGTGCCGGCAGTTGAGGCGGGTAAGTGTTGATTGTGGGTGAGAATAATGGTGGTCGGAGTGGTGGGGATAGTAGGTGGTGATGGTCGATAATGGAGGATATGATTAAGGATGATGGTGACATGGTGGTGGCAGAGGTGGTAGTGGAGGGTGGTGGTGGTGATGGTTGAGTATGCTGGTGGTGGTGGCATCGTGGTAGTTGATAATGGTAGGCGGTAGCGGCAATTAATAATGAATATATGATAGCCTCTTAATGAAATTAAGTCTCTGTTATAGATCTTAATCATACAGACCTATTTAGACCCATTAAGTGGTTGTGAAGTAAAAAAAACAAACATACTTAATGATTAAGATCTGAATAATTAAGATTCAGACTTTAAAAACAAACGCACTTAATATCTGAGATCTGAATGATAAAGATTCAGACCTCCATTAAGTGCAAACAAATGAGGCCTAAATGGGATAAGAAACACATTCTAATCAATTAATTCTACGCAACAAAAGACCAAAAAAAAACAAAACGTTAGTATATACCTCAAATGTACGAGCAGTGCTGTTTCGAGCCATTATGCTTGGCTTGGGTGCAGCATTTTGAAGACCAATGAGCTGGTCATCTTCATTCCCGCCATTAGCTTGAACCACTCCATTACTATCAACCACAAGATGAGGGGCTCTTCCGTTTTCATTTTCTGCAGGTTGCTGAGCGCTACTATCCCTGCCCAAGGACATCAGAGTCTCAGCTAGTTCCAGTGCCTCAGGGAGAGGGTCCTTCACCCCTGCACGCAACTCCAAGGAACTCAACTTAAGTGCTTCCTGTGCCTTGTCAATTTTCGGAGTATGCAGTAAATCTTCCTGTACACGTGATGCCTCAACTCCCGGCTCAGCAGAATCAGCAATTTTGACACCTTTGCAAACTCCAGCTGTTGTTGTTCCTCTTGTGCGCTTGAAAGCAACATGCTTGCGCTTACGCAATGCATTTCTCTTGTTTGCCTCTGCAAGGAGTAGATACATAACCTAATTGATTTAATATATGTCCAAGTCCAACATACAAAATGTTTAGAATTGTATTGGTTTTTCCCTCCATAAGGGTGACCATATGGACTACACAATAATTAAGATACAACAAAATTCAACCTTTTAGCATGGACTCTCCATTGTTGCCACACCCGTGTGGGATCCTCAAAAAATGCTCTACTTTTGAAGGATCCGACACACATCCGGTGATATTTTTTGAGAGTCCGAGCAACATAGCTTTTAACACCAGAATCCGGAAGTTACAACCACCCACTGAAGTAGAGCAGCAATCAGGATATTACATATGGTGTAGGCAGGCAAAGTGTTTTTGCATCATATCATAAAGATTTAAGGAATCCCTAGTTCTTAGAGAACCTTAGACAAAATTGCTAAGAAATTGAACCAAATGGACCCAAACAAAGCAGAATGTATATAGAAAATTCATATAACCAACCCCAACTAGTTTATAATCCGAGGCATAAGTGTTGCCATACCGTACAGAAACATTTAGGCATATAACAACCTAAGACACACATATATGCATGTCCATAGATACTGTAATAAAACAATGTAACATATCAACCTCCAACACTTTTTTAGAAGATCAACCCCCAACATATTTGCCATATACATCGAGTGTCAAGATTACCTTTATCATGGTTACAACAAGTCAAGTCCTGACCCGCGATTGATAAACTCTCTATCCTCTCACCACGCTCTTCTTTGTTTTCCAAACCCAAATAAGCCTTCACTGCATTATCGCGCCTCAAAGTCTCCGCTACAACCTCGAGAAAAGGAGGCCCAATTCTCTCCTTAGCTTCTTTAACAAAACCCTTGACTGCCACAACAGCTGAAATGCTTTTACTCCGCATTATCACATTTTCGCAACGCCTGTCTTCCCATAAAGCAGCTTCAATCTCATCCCTCCACTTCCATAATTCTTCCGATACGACGCCCACATTCTCCACTTTCTCCAAATTATTGATCCTCTGTTTCCATATCCTCTTTACTGCTTCAAAGTAATTCACTTTTTCACTTTTATTATTCAAAAACCTCACTGTACAATCCACTGCCACCGCACAATAAGCGGTTTTCATTGCTTCTGATGATTCAATTCCTTCTTGAGTATACAGTTCTTCCATTACCTCAAGAAATTCGAGGATTTTCTCAGAAACGGACCCATTCGAAATCTCGGACTGTATTTTTCGGAGGATTAGGGCCTTCTTGAGCCGAGAATCTTCGTTAGGAAGAGGAAGAACGCCAATTAGAGCGTTAAAGATGGTGTCTTCCAGAGGTTGCCAAAGAACAAACTCCAAAATCCAACGTGATATGTCCATATCCATTGATAAAACATGAAATCAAACCCCCACAATTATTATTTTTTTTCAACTGTTAATTCAATGAAAGAGTTATTTTAAGGGATTAAAACTACACCAGAATTCTAAACTAAACGTTTGACACGCGGTAAAATGTTGAATGTTTGACTGCAATGGCGAGCGGGCAAGGGCAGAAAATTCCAGAATGAAAACGGAATCTAGGGTTTCTGGAGTGAGGATTCAGTTACGTGCCCGCCGGTTCGAAGTTAACGGGAAGGTTTTACAAATTACTATTTCAAGTGCCACTTTTTCAATTGACTTGGCATTATCACAGACACAAACCAATATGTGTCAACTATTAATCACTGATTTTTTTATTATTAATCACTGATTTAGAATTTTACGTCCAATAAACTTTAATTTATGTCATGAGGAAAACGCATAAACTACCCATTTGTCCAAAGAATATGTTATACATTCTAAATTTAGGCAATATCTTGCTCTAAACGTGTCACGATCCAAAATTCACTAGTCGTGATGACACCTGACTCGACCTGCTAGGTAAGCCAACTAACAGTCAATACAATTCAAATGAGATTTATAAGAATTTACAAATAATCCAAGGACTAGTAATACAAATCATGAGCTTCTAAAACTTAGAATTTACAAAAACTTGTACAAATAAATACATCATCTGTTTGAAGTTTACATAAACAGATTAGCAAAATCTAAAGCTACCAAGGACAAGTGGCAGCTAGAACCAGAACGCATGTACATCTTCAATGCCAACCCCATATATAGTGATTCCAGCTCCAAAATCAGCACGCAAGGTGCAGAAGTGCAGTATGAGTACAACCAACCTCATGTACTCTTTAAGTATCTTGACTAACCTCGATAAAGTAGTGACGAAGCTTTTTTAGTTGAAAGATACTCATTGATATAACATGTGCAGTAGACTAGCAATAGAACAATACTAGAACATAACAGAAAAGAGTACAAGAAACAATTATGCGAAGCAGTAAATGATTACTACAAGATATCATAATTTAATATCATCAATATCACAACCGATCCTTTCCTTAGAACGATAACCAACAAACCACGATAGTAAATCCATAACTTTCATAGTGTGAGAAATGTACTCAAGATATCAAATCGAATGGCACAGCAACACTCTTCGTGCATTTATCGTATCCTCACTAAATATGCGTATAACAGTGTGTCACGCCCCCTTTTTCCTCCGCGGAAATCGGGTTTATGACATTTGGAGGGACATCTCGTTCTTTTTGGGAACTAGGTTTTGCGTTTTTGAAGAGTCGCCATCTAATGATTCGAGGTGCATTAGGACACCAATGGAATTCAATTCTAAGTCTTTTGAATAACCAGAGATAGGGTAAGGGCTTGAAATTATCCTAAGGGGAAGGTGTTAGGCACGCATCACGATCCACTAGTGTGGTTCTCGGCCAGACAGTTATTGTGAATTTGGGGTGCAACTAACATATAAGCAGATAAGGCTCAAATAAGAGGGGATTTCAATACACAATAGTTGAAAACGAACAAAGTTTGAAAGAGCAATTAAAAGAGCTGATTTTAAATAAGGAGTTACAATGCTTAAAAAAGCAGGGGGGGGGGGGGGGGTAGGGAAGGAAGGGGGTCCTAGGTTTATATTTAATATGAATCACATCAATACAATACCTGGTAATCACTCCTCAAGAGAGGGGCTACACGTGGTATTAGCGCACCGGTCATCATATCCATATCTACCCTTTCCCACCCCGTTTAAGGTACTAAAGCACGGATTGGTCTCGACCACTATTGCATGTTATTATCCGTCCCATTCCTGTCTCGGAGGCACTTAGGACTACTAATCCTAAAAGGGTGGGATATTAGGCTGACTTGTAGTTTCAAAGGTAAAAATCTAAGGCGACATACAAAACATAAAAAAGACTGCATATTAAAGGGGAAACACATAAACACATAAGGCTCAAGTATACCTCCTCAAACAAAACAATCCAATAGCATGGCTTAAACGAGCAAGGTCTGATTCTAAAAAATACTTGAGGGAAGAGAAGATGGTTGTTGTTGCAACAGGTCTAGCTTATTACATGCCTCAGTTAGGAAACACGAATGGGTCCTACCTGCTGATTGTAGCACTTAAACAAATAACAGAGGCGAGTTCAGTTTTATTGTTATTACTCTAAGGCTTGCCTAAGTGTTTAAACGGGATCATATAGGCATGATATCTACTTAATTCAGAATGCGATGAAACAATAATACATTTGGTTGAAATCATACAGGCATGCTTGCCAAACCTCGTTAAGTAAAGGAATTAGATTGTTTAAAACGGATTCAGAGTAGACTGATTTTAGAGCAGACCAATTTCAGATTCTGCAGGTGATGGTATCTACTATTGCTGATTTAAACCCTATGATCATGATATCTATCATTGAGTGGGAATGGAACGAATCGGATTGATTTAAGAACTCCTATATGCATGATTTCTATGTGTTACTGATTTCAGCATTACGAACATGACATTTATTTTATTCGTTTAGAACCTAAACATGATATCTAAGTGCCATACGGAAATTTAAATACGTCCTATAGGCAGGTTATCTAGGTGTGACATTGACCATAAGAAATTGAGATAAACCCTATAGACATGGTGTCTAAGAATGCAGAATTGAACACAAAGAACTTAAATAGTCCTATAGGCAGGTTTTCTAGGTGTGAAGTTAAACATGCAGAGTAAATAACCTCTATAGGCATGATGTCTAAGGTGCAGAATTAAAATACCCTATAGGCATGGTTTCTAAATGCAGTTTGAAGATGCAGAATTATAAGTAGTCCTATAGGCATATTTTCTACCCTTGACATGCATAAATACCCAACCCTTTTCACTAGCCAGCCCCAAATGTTTATTACAAATTATTACAAACCGGAAATACTGAAATACATCCAAAAAGAACACAACTAGAGGAGGTCCGATTCTTGGTTCCTCCCTGAGCTATGGAATAACTGCCTTAAGATGCCATTGCTTCAAAGCCTTTCTCAAACTTGAGTGTGTCAGAGTTCCCTAAGGGCCTCAACAGGACCCCGGGCAGTGCTCACACCCAAGTTACATAACCAGAATAGAGATGAGTGCAGTATGGAAATATCAGCCTTTATGTGTCCAAGTTCAGAGGGAGCTCTTGGGTCCCAGGGCAAGACTCACATAGAGGGGGTAGACCTTAAGTCTAGGAAGTTAGTAGAAGTGCAGGAATAGGGGTTTTAAAACTGAAGAGAGTATAGGAGAGGGGTAAAGGGTGATAGGAAAGCAATAACCAGTAAAACACAGAGTTGGTAACTTCATGCAAGGGGTCAGGGGTTGGGGATTCATTGCAAAGAGCTTGTGTAATTGAGCAAAGGCCAGCTTTGGGCATGCACAGCAATAAAAGATGTTGGCCTGCTTATGAGCCAACCAAAACACACAACAAACAGAGGAAACATGAAGGTTATGGTCCCAGAAGGACCAAGTTTGAGTCATGGACAACAATGTTTAATGTTGCCATGCCCCATACCAACCACAGTTATCAAATATATAGGGGGTGGGGATTTAAGATGCTCAAACTATGATAAAGAGACATTAATTCAGAACAAGGAAGGCAGAATGCAGCATGCTTAATAATGGAAATCAGCTAAACACAACAGGAGATAGACAAGAGGAAAGAAACAGTAAAGAAACATGTTGTCGTTGATGCTGAAAACTTAATTAGAACATACCAGTCAAAGAAGCAAAGTGCAGTAAAGAAAAGTAGCAGGACTTCGAAATATTAGCCTTGGCTTTCAGCTGGCTAAACATGCAGTAGCACAAGTAGTAGTAAAGCAATAGAGAGTGTTTGGGTGTAAGTGTGAGTTCAGAGCTAAAAGTGTTCGTCTGTTTGTGTTAATGAGAGAGTATGTATATATAGTAGTTCGAAACTATGTAAAATAAGGCAAGAATCACAATTGTATAGTAATTATGGAACTCGGAACCAATTAGAGCAAAAATCAGTACAAGTACTCCCTTAATTTAAGGGAATCAGTTCAAACGGTAAGAACAAGTAACAAATAAGGAAAGAAACCAATGTGTAGACAAGGAAATAATTCGAACATATTAGGCATAGAGTAAACTATTAGGGCTAGTTTCAGAAAAACTCTAATTAAGGAGATAGTCAGTAAGAATCAAGTACAAATGCAGCCAAGGTAAGGGAATCAATCGAATTGAGTAGAAAAGTGGGGATTGAAGGTCTAAAGGAAAGTGTTCAAATCAGACCAAGAAACAGGGAAATCAGAATCAATCAAAAAGAAAGTCATGAGTCAATGTTTTGCATATAAATAAAGTAAGACATAGATGGCCAAGAGTCGACATACAACTCTAGCAAACATGAGAGTCAAACAATACTAGTTCAATGAGAAAGAGGCTAGTTTTGAACAGTCAAGATGAACACAAGCACATAGAATCAATGTAAGTTTAGGCTAAGAAACTGAGTAGAAAAATATCAAGGCAAGATAGTCAAGAAAAATCACAGAAACTCAAAAACGAGAACCGGCCAGTCATGCTGATACGCAAAACCAAACAAAGAACCCCCTAAAAATTAGGGCTTTCAACATAAACGAGTTAAAGATGTAGCAAACTCATAGAATCAGTCAAGATATGCAAGAAATATAAGTAAAAACACAAAGAATCAGTTAAACAAGGTTTTAAAAGAAGTTCTGAATACCCTAGTTTTAGAAGAAAATGAAAAACACTTGAAACCACATGATTCTTATAAAAAACCTTAAGGTCAGTGTAAAACATTCGAGAAACAAACTCAGATCGTCCTAGACTGTACAGATCTAGAAGGTATAGAAAAGAAATTAGGGTTTTGGAAGAACCCATAATGAGACGATGAAACCTATCCAAAAACTCAAAGATCGTGTCAAATCTAGAATGATTATGCTTGAAATCACGCTAGAATAGCCAAGAATAGGCAGGAGATGAACCCTAGATGCAAGTCTGCATGGCCCCCGGGCCCTTGAAGACCTTACAGAAGACAAGCATAGCATTAGAGAAGCCATTAAAGGCTTCAGAGACGATGAGAGGTCACCGGAGATGGTCTGCGTCTTACAACTTGCTGTTGGGACGACTTTGGATTCATGCCGCTGGGGCTGTAGCATCAACCCTACATCAGGCGGTGAAATTTGAATGGAATCACCAAGANGCTCTTCCGATCTGGTTTTGGAAGAACCCATAATGAGACGATGAAACCTGTCCAAAAACTCAAAGATCGTGTCAAATCTAGAATGATTATGCTTGAAA